TATATATATATATAATGGTATAGATCTAAGATCTAATGGCTTCTTCTCTCTTCTTGAAACATTTTGAAATATACTTACATATTTCATTGATGACGTCTATATTTGTACATGATATGATATATTTAAAAGTGTCTTCCTTTGATAATGTTTTACATTTTTTGTCGAGCTTAATTGAACTGAACAGTGATTTACGTTCGTTATCATATAATATACAGTCAAGCATAAAATGCGATTCATCTTCAATACAAGAATTGTTACAGAACTTGCATAGTCTATCTTGTAATGGTGTACGGCGTAATTAAATACAATAACTTTCCTTCTGACAGGTTTTCAGCAGAGGTCACATTAACAGTTTCCTCCTGACGACCCCGCGGCCGTTAGGAAGCTTGACACATCTCAACATCTGGCACGACAACTCCGGGAAGGGGTCGGGGGCCGGCTGGTTCCTGGACAATGTAGTGGTGAAAGATCTGCAAGCCAATCAGACGTACGTCACTACTGATTCATGTTGCTATAGCAAAGATTTATTATTGCGTGCTCAGTCATTCAATGTTTCTAGCTGTAAAATAGATGTCATTGATTTTGAAACTTTCGAAAGCCTCTGTCACACCTTCCTCCGACCAACTTACCAACCGGCTAGATTTCTGGGACCACATGCCTTCGTCAAGTAAAGAAGTTTCTTATAAAATGGTGTTACTATAACATCCACATATTCTCAGGACGCACGCACTTAGTAGTAGCAATTACGTACTCATACGCGACGCGCGTTTCCATCTTGTACGATTGTTATCATTTTAAGCGATAAATACCACTGAATAGTCGATGTCATATCTTAACTGTTTTGTCGGACAAAAATGTCTAAAACATACAAAAACCAACAATTTTTTTATAGCTAAAACTGTGTTACAGCATAATTATATAGATACATAATGTACAACAACTCTATGGTTGGGAAAGTTCGGCACCATTCAGAAGGCCAGATGTGTGACAGGGGTTCAATTACCTTCCCAAAATATCACTCGTAGATATTTCAATTGACTGTTGTCATTTGTTTTTGTTACTAAGTGGTGTGTGTGTGTGTTTGTGTTTGTGTGTGTGTGTGTGTGTGTGTGTGTGTGTGTGTGTGTGTGTGTGTGTATTTGCACCTTTCAGTTCAGCCAAATGTATTTGTAAAGAGATTTATATAAACCGCTGATAACGATAGGTCCTTCTTTCCCCACGGACAGATTCTACTTCCAGTGTAACCAGTGGCTGGCGGTTGATCAGGATGACGGTCGGGTCAGCAGAGTTCTACCGGTCGACGGTTGGGAGCAGATAACGGACTTTCAAAACCTGTTTAACAAGAGGCAAGTTGAACAAATATCTTCAGTATAATTTGACTTAGTTTCCCTTTACTATCTGATAATCACATTGTTGATTGAGTCTTGTGCTCCCCAATCAATCAATTATCAATAAGCATCAGTAACAGTAGACACCTCTTTCTATGAAGTTCCATTTTCCTTATAATCACCAGCCCCCTCAGTATGATGGACTCGGACGTATTGCTAGACCAAACATAGGAACAAACACAAAAGGTCTATTACGGGGAATCGGTCTGCGGGTCCACTGGGGCGCTGTACTAGCCAACAGGTTCTAGTCACCAGATTTATTTACTATCACAATTGAGTAAACACCAGAAGTAAAAAGTCGGTATAAGCGGTAAGCCAGACAGGGAGAATAATTGGCCAGGGGAGTTAAGCAGAATCAAGTCAGATCCAATTTTTCTTTATTCCACAATCTGATGATGAACACCCTTTATAAGAAGACCCAGTGTAGGCTATGTTTTTTTTTTTTCACTTGCTGGGTTGGTTGACTAAGTTCAACACCGAGCCTCTTACCTTTTCTTTAAAACATATACATGCGAAACCCATTAGGAAGTCATTTGTTTTTTATTTGTTGTACTTTTAGCGCCCTGCGGCAGTTATTTGACGGCCACCTGTGGTTCTCCGTGGCGTGTCGGCCGAACAGGAGTAACTTCAGCCGTGTACAGCGGCTGTCCTGCTGCCTCACCCTGCTGTTCTGTACCATGGTCACCAACGCCATGTTCTACAGAACAGACTCCACAGTCAAGGACCCAGGAAGGTAATACTAGTTTCATCTAACCTTTAATCTCTTATGATTCTGACTATGGCTTGATGCAATGACTACTTGGGTAGAGTGTTCGCCTTGCATTCGGTAGGTCGTGAGTTTGATCCCTAGCCGAGTCATTCCAAAGACCTTAAAATGGTACATACTGCTTTCTGCGTTTAGCACTCAGCATTTGGGAAAGCGTATGGGAGCTAAACACACACCACTACCAGTTTATGGCTTGGTAGTAAAATGTTTTAAAGAGCTATTAATAATCTGTTCATAGACTGATGTTGGCGACTTAGGGTTCGTTGCATATCCCGTTGAAGAGGTGATGTGCCGTCTGTGAATATATTTGTAGTTGGATAAAGCCACTGTCACACAGCCGATCGTTTCCTCCAAAATAATATTCAATGTTAATCAAATTTTGCTGTAGGAGAATGATAGTAATTTACTGAGTGTGTTGACGTTAATTTGATAGGCTTTCCATTGGGCCATTGAAACTGTCCTTGTACGAGCTGTACGTCAGCGTGGTGTCTAGTGTCATCACCCTGCCGGCCACCTTAGCAGTAGTGGAGCTGTTCAGGCGCAGCAAGCCGAAACAAGTAGGCAAGGTAAGCAGGGTCTAATGTATTCTACAACGCATATACATGTAGTATTTTTTAAATTAATTTTTGTTAGAACATTAGCATGTAAATTACATACAGAGATAAAAAAAAATATCATAGTTCTCTTGTTATACTCGTGGACATGAGTCATCAGAATGACATGCAGAGCAAGCAACCAATAGGCATGCAGCTTTTCTCAATTCTTCTTGCTGATTCGCTGTTGGGATTTGATTGGATGAACTCAATTAACACCTGTACAAAGCCATGCCATATTGACAGTGTGAAATACATTCAAGTGTGGTGTGTATGCCAAGCTTTCCTGCTCCAGCGTTGGAATGCGGGACATAAACGCTTCTTTTTATATTGAAAATCAACAGTTTGCATTATGCAATTAAGAACCCTAACCAATAATGTAGGGGGTATCTGTCCAACTGTTGTTACTTCATACTATAATTATATCAATGTAATAGACTGTTTTCCCGTGTGTTTCCTTCTTTCCCTGCCATGTCGTAAAATGTGGTGAAGCCATCCGCTACATTTGTTCCAAAGCAAATGTCGACCTTTCTAGATTATTACTTACTTTCCACAGGGCTCTAGAAGGAACAGCCATGTAAAGGTTATTCACTGGAAAGTCGATCAGGCAAAAAAGCAGCAATACAAGCCTCCGCCACCACAACAAGCCAAGGGCCTGCCGCACTTCTGTGTGTACATCGCCTGGTGCCTGGTGTTCCTGACCGTGACAGCCTCGGGATTCTTCACGATCCTCTACGGACTCGAGTGGGGGAGGGAGAAGTCTCTGGACTGGCTGTCGTCTATTCTGCTGGGGATGATCGAGTCAGTGCTCTTCGTACAGCCCATCAAGGTATGCGGTTGTTTTCTTTGTCAAAATGTTGATAATAGAAATGCTAATTTTTGTTACTGTAGCTTATTTAACACGGTGTTTGTGCTTTAATAACATGGGAAGCTGAAGATGAATTGTAATGAGATTTGATATAAGATTTGATATTCAGCCAGGTTTTTTAGATGTTGGTCCCCTGGCAGGAACTGCAACAGAAATTAGGTTTTCTAAGGTTCCAAATCCCAGACCTGAATAAAATATATAGTATAATTGTGATGGGTATAGTAACGATCCATCTTGTTTACGTGTGCAAGGGAGTACGCATAATATATTAATTAAATCACTTTGATCAAATGATTAAATGTATCAACCACAGATCTTGGTACTGGCCTGCTTGCTGTCAGCCATATTCAGACGCCCTGAAAACGACATCAGTGTTCCTGATCTATCCACCGTAAAATCAGTGGACCCACCTAACAAAGAGACCGACGGTATGTCAATCCACATGCATCTTATACCATACATCGTAAGACAGCAGATACCAAATCATTACTGCTGTGATCCTTAACTGTAAACCCTTGTCACATGCGAGTACAGCCCATATGAGCTCCGTCTCTACCCCGTCTAAGCATCTTCTCTGTTATCTCTGCTTCTATTATTCTTTATTCTTAAGTATTTCCAGATTCTTCATTGTTTCTTCCCGTTCTTTAACACGGTGTGTCTTATGCCCTATTCTAAGCCTGGGCCTGCCGGGCTGTTCAAATAAACGAAAAAAAAAATAAGTGTTTATTAGCCTGCACAAATTACTTTTATGGTTATCTTTGAAAGTTTTGTGTGTTTTATGGAATTCTATACATAACTTTTCGTTCCCGCAAACTGCCCGGCTGGGTCCCGGCTTAGAAATCTGACTGAAGCATTAGTTTGGTCTTGATTCACTGATACACGCCCTTATATCACCGTAGATGGAGAGGAACCCGAAGCGGTAACACCTCCCAGTCCCCCCACCGAAGACGAACTCCGCCGGGCACGGTTGAAGCGGGAGAAGGACGAGCGGATGAACAAAGCGCAGAAGGAGATTCTCGTCTACACCTTCTTCCTACTGGCGCTTACCGTGGTCTCTAATGACGTCACGGACACGCATGCGTACCACCTGGTACAGTCAATCAACAATGCGTTTGTGGAGAGCTCGGTGTTCGCACTCACAGATGTAAGTACATTAAAAAGCTGGCTGGGTTTCTGATTCAGGAATAAGAGTTGGTGCTGCGGTAAGCATCATTTGATCCGATCGAGCATCTTAGCTGTAGGTTACGATGGAACCATCAGGTTCACACCATGTTTATTTTAAAAATACATATGCTGAATAAACACGTATTCTGAAACATTATTGTTCAAAGAGGAACATCAGAACAGAAAGGACAAAATATTACCCTAACGCTGAACTTATCCATCATCATAGCTTATAGATCTGACGGTGGTTCGAACTTTTTTGCCGGCAAAATCATACGTGCTTATCTTATCAGTCATTATTTTTTGTCTATGAAAGAAAATGCAATAGCGATCTCTTGTGTTCCGCCTATACAAAAGTTATAACAGGTTGAGATCAACACTTCCAGTGTTATACATTTCCACTACTGTAACACTATTGTTCTTTCATACATAGGTGCGCACAGATGAGGCCTTTTACACCTGGGCAAACCTAACTCTAGTCCCAAACCTGTACCGCGACACCTGGTACAATAGTGACGAGAGGCTACCATGGCGCGAGCGGAAGTTTCTCCTCGACTTACAGAACTTTCGTATCGGGCCAGCTCGCCTCCGCCAGACACGGAAGGCAAAGTCGGGAGAAGTCAGCATCGAAGATCTGGCCAAGAAAGCTAGCGACTTCTTAGCAGACTTTGACAACATCTGGGCAGAGGTTTCAAAGATGTTCTCGGGTGGCGGCGAGATTAACTTGGATAACAATGAGCTGTGGTCTGACTCGGACTTGGCTCTTCCAGTCGCGAAGTCCTACGACCCGTCCTCCGTTATCCTTGGTGCTAACCTGGAGTCAGCTAAACGTGTGGTGAAAGCGTTGGAGGAGAACCAGTGGGTCAAAGAAACAACACACATCATCACGGCAGACTTCTCCACCTACAACCCAGGCGTCAACCTCTTCGCGACCACCGAGATCAACATTGAGTTCCTGGAAACGGGAGGTCTGGGTGTTAGGAGCACGACGCGGACATTTAGACTGTACAACTACCAGGGAAGCACGATGGTTTTCATCGTCATCTGCCAACTTGTCTCCATTGCGTTTATACTGTATTTCCTCGTGGTGGAAATACTGGAGATGAAGAATGAAAAGATTCTGTACTTCTTTGAGGTAAGGATCATTTATTCATAAATCTATGTTTTCCTCCTTGAGTTAGTAAATGTACCTAGGTAATACAAACACACTTCTCTTTCTAATGTGTTTGGACAAACCTTTGATAATAAATCATATCCTTTGTTACATTTACACCATTGCATGAATGGAGAAGCTTAATTCACATGCAAGGCTATTATAGTATACAAGAATGTAAACAATTTATACCATCATGTATCTAAGAATTATTCTTTTGTTTTGACATGCACTTAACCCAGTGGGCTTTTATGTACAACGTAGTAAAGGTCTCTTTTTTTAATCATACATCCTGCTTCCGTCAATGCAGCGTATCATTTTAAATGTGTAAACAAACTGTTGCCCTCTTCAAAAGGTGTGGAACTACATAGAACTGTCCATCATCGGACTGGGGATCGCCACAATCGCCGTGTACTCCATCAGAAAAGTTCGGGCAGATAGCATCCTGAGGCAGTACCAGCTTGCACCCAGTAAGTCGGTTTGATGTTAAACTCACTTCTGTGTACGGAAGTATTGCTTAGGGAGGCTGAGCTGTGGGGTTTTCTCTCTGTTCTAATTGTTGCATGTTGCATGATGGGCGGGCCGGGTAGGAGAAAATGGGCAGTATGTGGACGGATTCAGAACAATCTGCAGTACCCGCGGTTGAATTGCGTCTGCATTAAAAAAAACTCAACATACCAAACTAGAAAGGCCAATATTTGCTTTGGAGCAAATACAGCGATGGGTTCACCACATTTTACCACATGGCAGGGAAAGAATGAGAAACACAAGGGAAAACAATGATTACATTGATATAACTATAATATGAAGTAACATACAACTAAAACAACAGTTGGATAGCTATTCCCTACTTTATTGGTTAGGATTTTTAATTGCATAATGCAAACTGTTGATTTTCAAAATAAAATAAAAAAACGTTCATGCCCCGCATTCCAATGCTGGAGCAGAAAAGCTTGAAATACCTACCAAAACACTTGAATAAAGACATACTGTCAGTATGGAAATGCTCTGTGCAGGTGTTAATCAAGTTAAATCCCAACAGCCAATCAGCAAGAAATGCTCTGTGCAGCTGGAAATGCTCTGTGCGGGTGTTAATCAAGTTAAATCCCAACAGCCAATCAGCAAGAAGTATAGAGGAAAGCTGCATGCCTATTGGTTGATGCCCTGCATTCCATTGTGATGACTCATGCCCAGACGTGGTAAAAAAAAAAAAAAAAAAAAAAA